AAGTTTGAATGATTCACACACATCCATGGGTGGGCAACTGCAGTTGGTGCATGGTAGGCCAATTGTGTCACTGTTTCTCTGTGTCATGATAGATCTCAATTGAGCAACGGCGGCAGGCCTAAGGGCCGGCGCGCAACAGCGCTCGCCACTGCATGCTCCCCATGCGCTGGGGGCCCTCCCTCCGGGGGCCTACGAGGCAGGAAGCTAGCCAGCCGGAAGACCGGCACTCCCCGCCCGTGGCTCCCTGTGCGCCAGAAGCCCTCCTTCCGGGGGCCTACGAGGCCAGGAGTGAGCCGCCGGTCTCAAGACCGGCACTCCCCGCGCCAGGCTCCCCGTGCACTGGGGGCCCTCCCTCCGGGAGCCTATGAGGCAGGAAGCTAGCTGGCCGGAAGACTGGCGCTCCCCGCCCGTGGCTCCCTGTGCGCCGGAAGCCCTCCTAGAGTGTGATTTTCTTTAGGAATTCCTTCTGTATTAGCCCTTTTCTGGATCATACTGTCCGGCCTACCACTTTTCAGAATTCCTGGATGAGACTCTTAAAAGCTTACATACAGACAAGCAACAAAAACCTCTGGACTTAAATGATAACCAGATCACCCAGGCTTGGTAGCGCACACCTGTAATCCCAGCACTTGGGAGGCTGAGGCAGGAGGATTGCCAAGATTTCAAGACCAACCTGGGCTACATAGTGAGTTCAAGGCCAGAGTGAACTACAGGTCTAGTGAGACCCTGTCTCAAAAACCAACCAAACAAACAGATCAACTAGAAGAATTAGCAACTTTTTTTTTTTTTTTTTTTTGTCTTTTTGAGACAGAGTTGTTTGCTTTTAATCAAACTCAAGTTTCAAATATCAGACTGGGTTGGACTACATAAACTTTACACATACTCTGAAAATTCAGAGGGGTAAGATTAACACAGAAAAGGTATTTTATGAACTATTCTGGAATTCCAGGATTTGGGGTTTTGTTTTTTTTTTTTTTTTGCAGTACCAGGGATGAAACTCAGGACCTTGCACTTGCCAAGCAGGCGCACTTGTGCCACTGAGCTATATCTCCAGCTGGAATTCCAGTATTTTAAATCTAATTACTAAGAGCTCACAACAATATGTACTATATAGCTAAAACTGCCTTCAATGGAAGAATTCTTGAATGAATTCTTGAGGGCAAAAGAAATATCCTTTATTTGAACTTGTTTCTCATTTCTACTTAGAACGTAATCTACGAAGTTCATTTTTTGAAAGGCGTTTGTTTTCTTATTAGTATATTCAAACCACAGGCATAAAGTAACTTGTGCAAATACTTTCTAGAATCTTTCAACTTTGCAAGTGTTCCTAAATCCTCCCAATGACAATAATTTTTAATATTAGCCTAATTTTACTAGAAATTAAGAAGCATTAAGGATTTCATCAATAAATATTTATTAATACTATTTGTATAAAACACTTTTCTAAAGGGGCCACATACGTAAAATACACACATTAATTCCAGGAGCTAAGTCCTACTTTTAGTATGGATATACTCTGTACGAGAAGAGTCGCTCACAGCCGCCATAAGGGCCTCTTGCTTTCTGTTTCTAGTCCTTCCTCAGTGCTAGCAGCAAACTATGAATAAAGTTAAATCTGTAGTAATCACTACATATCATGTCCAAATGGTGATTTCTGCCGTATTTTAATCTCTGTAACTAATGATTTCCTGTAACTTTTTTCTTCAAACATGCTGTCCACCTATTAAATTATGTCTTGAACTAGAAGAACTTATCTGGCATAGAATTTTATTCCACACCACACAGACAAAGTCACTACAGACTTTTTTTTTTTTTTTTTTTTATGCTTTTTAACTTCATTTCTCTTTAATTGAAACATGAGGGGAGGGGTCCAAGCTTTAACAAAATAACACTTATTTTGACAAAATAGCAACCAAAATGTAAAGTGGCTAAGCTATGTGTCCAAAAGTAAAAGGTATTAAAGAATAAACCTTAATATCAGAGGAAGAGAAAAACCCACCACAGGATACAATATAAACATTTTGAAATTATAATTTAAATCTTAAGGATAAAAGCTGAGAAACTATGCTCAGCTCTTGCTAAATTAAGTGCACCTGTTTCCCCCAAAATCATTAAGTTTAGTCACACCTGAAAAATCTCAATTTTCTCAGTATAAGCACTACATACACAGAGAACACTTGTTTGCAGATTAGTGATTTCCCTCGCTCATCCAACGTGCAACACACCTGACTCTGAAGACCAAGTCACTACAGACTTAAGGGCAAGTATCTTCTAAGTGAAACTTGAAGATCTACTTAATCTACCAATTCTCTAAAAAATATTAGAATAAAGCAATATAGACATTAATGTTAGAACAGATGGGGTCTAAATTCAAGAAGTTCACTACTATAAGTGATACTCAGGATATTCAAATTTCACTTAAACAGAAATTTTGGTTACAATCTTGCTAAAATTCCATCTATAAATGCCTAGCAACCTCTTTATTCAGAAAACAATTTACCTCTCACTAAGAACATCTTGGTTAATAAAAAATGCATCTTTTATATCTTGGTTAATAAAAAAATGTACCTTTCCTTAATAACAAGCAGAATATTTTTAAAAAGGTCATCTAGGTAGTGTCAAAATAAGCCAGCAATCTACAGTTTTACCAGAAATAAGAGGGCCTGATGTAAGCTTGGATTTCTTAGATATTTCCCATATAAGTCAAGGGCTTTATATTTCTCAAGGAGACAATGAGAAGGGTTTCCCCTAAAGATAGCCATCAAGGTTTCAAAGGGCAGGAAAGAAAATAAAAGGTTATTTCTATGCAGGTTTTTAAAGCATTATCCTACTTCCAGCTCCCATTAAAAGTCACCCCCTAAGACAGAGCCTTCTTCCAGGTAATCTCAGAAGTTTCCCATGGGAAGAAGGCCAAAGTGACCGCCCTGTGCAGACGTCAGGCTCACCTGACTGCGCCACCTGTGGTCAGCAGGGGAAGAGCAGTGCCGAGCACTCCCACCACTGAGAGCTGCTGAGGATGGCCTCCGGGCACGTTTGCAGCTCTTTGCCTCCTGTGGTCCACGTGGAGGAGAGTGCTTCAGAGAGGACAAAGAACAGGAAAACAAAAATTCACACAAAGGAAAAGAAAAGTCTAAGGCACATACACGTAATTCTAAAAACAAGTATAAAATATGCCTGTAAGCCAGCCATACATTGCTATACAAAATACTGGACATAAGAGCAAGTATCCTGGGAAGACGACTGGAGAGGGGCTGGCTATGGACCAGATCCTGACATTTAAAAGGGGAAAGTGGTTGCTGTCAGCTGTGTGTCCTCCTAGGCTAGAACCGAAATTTTGAGTCATGTTAATAATAGTAATAATGGTTTACTAAATTAACCTTTTTCTTTCTTTCTTCATTAAAAATATATAGGCATGTGAAAAACATAACTATTCCAGAATCAAAAAAGAACTATATGCTCACAACTTCTGAATGTATAGTGTATTACAGATAAGAACTTTTTTCACAATGAAGTTCTTGTACCGTCAAAGGTACAAGAGGCAGATGATCCTCTGTAGAAATCTACACGGGTGCTTTTCTCACTGCTTTATAGGACAGAAACAAAGTCAAAACCCTAGCAACTTACCCCTTTCTACTTCATGGCATTTTTCAAGGCATCTCTGTATCTCCCCAGCAGCTGATAAGCTGAAATGCATTCCGTCTGAAACCACACAGACTGCACTTCACGTAGATTTTCCACGGCAGATATTCCCTCCTAAAATGTAAGCACTTGTGACCATAATGAGCAAACAACAAGCGTCCTAACAACCTCAAAGCTAAGGCTGCAACCTTTATTATGATAATCAACAATAATTAATGTGTTTCCTCAGGCTCCTGATGATTGAAAGTTGCAAGTCCTATAGCTGTTTTTAAAATTTGTTAGTATATGTTTGTGATTGTACACTTTATGTAGAAAAGACTCCAGATTAGTTTTTAAAAACTCAAAATTTACCTAAAGTACTCAAACAGGGAAGCACTGCCTGGCTTCCACATCTCTTTCTCCTTCTCCGTCGCTCCTCCCTCTTTCTCTTTCCTTTTCCTTCTGCTGTTTAACCGCTCCTTGCCGTCTCAGGCTTGGCACTATGCATATCCAACATCACGTTTACTCTCTCGGTAATAATTCCAATCACGTCTTTCAGTTCCCCAGTCTCTTTCCTCCTAGTTAGGCTCTCTGTTGTCACTTTCCTTGTGCCTAGATGTCTGCTTCTAATAGCATCTCCTGCTTCTTGACAACTTATTTTTCTACCTCTCAGCTGCAGTGTGCTAACAAAACCAATAACCAAACTTGTTCATGTTTATAGTCAGGTGTGGTGGCACAAACTTATAATCCCAGCTACTACGGAGACTGAAACAGAAAAATTATAACCAGCAGGAGGATTTGAGACTGACCTAAAGAGCTTGACAAGACTCTATCTCAAAGCAAAACATAAAAAGGGCTGAGGCTGTAGCTCAGTGGTTGAGTGTCCCTGCGTTTGAGCCACAAGAACAGAAAAAACAAATTTTTTTGTTAATTCGGACTTAATGGTAATTCTATCCTGCCTTAGCCTCCCAGGGCACCGAGATTATAGGTAGTGTACCATCATGCCCAGCTTTCATTTTTGTTTTTTAAAGTAATGGATTTATTTAACTTAGTAAGTCTTGAACTGTATATGCATTTTTAATTGTACTCATGGGTTGATAATATCTTCTCCAATTCTCTTCTGACTTTGCTTATGGTTATTTTGTTACATATATTTTTTAATATACTCAAGTACTTGAAATTTAATCATACTTTATGTTTTAGTGTATTTTATGCTTTAGTATCTTACCGAATGCTCACAGGGTGTCTGGATTTGATCAGCACACACTGCATGGATGTATGGAAACATCACACTGAGCCCCATTATTATGTACAATTATTACATGTTAATTTTAAAAAATTAAGGGGTACGGGCAGAAGAGGAGGAGGAAAGAGGTGGCATGTTTTCTATCTCAAACATAAAACATGCTTCCTTAGCCTACAGACAGACTCCTATGTTTTCCTCTAAAAGTCTGAAAGGTCTGCTTTCAATATATAGATCTTTAATCTACCTGGAATTGATGTGTGTGCAGTAAAAGACAGGGATGTTATTCAATTTTTGTTTTCAACCTAAATAACTAATTGTTCAGCAATATCTTTTTATCTCTAATTTTATAAGTACTTCTAGCTATATACCAAGTTTCCAAAAATATGTGATCCTGCTTCTGAGCTTTGTATTCTATTATTTTACTTATATTTTTAACCATGAACATGTATGACTTTCATAATCTCACAAAAGTCTATGTGGAAAAGAATATAAAAGAATGGTGAAGGAGGGACAGAAAAAGAATGGATATTTAGTTCAACAATATCAGAAATTTTAATTCCAGACAGGGAGGGGAGAAGAAAGAAAAAGGGAAGCAAAAAGAATTAAGATGTGTTATGTGCATGACAAAGAAAAAGAGGGGAGCGGGGAGAGGAAAGGAGAGGGAGGGGAGGGGAGAGAGAACGGAGGGAAGGGGAAGGGGCAGGGGGAAGGGCAGGGGAACAGAGTTGGGGATGGGGCAGGAAAGGAGACAGAGGAAAAGGGGGAGAGAGAGAGAGGGAATTTCTCATACTTTTAACAAAGTATTTTGATCCTACTGAGGACTTTTAGTCATCCCCTAGCAGAAATACATGTAGAAACACACATATAACCATAGTACAAAACTACACTTAGGATATGAGTAAATAGGATTTTTAAAAAATGAATTTTTTGTGAGTGGCAACCTCACAATTTTACTGATTAACATAATTACATCTTCATGGATGCTATCTCCTACCCTTGTGAACTTGGAGCACATTTCCTCTGCTTCTTTTATCATATTCACTTGAAGCACATATTCTGCACATTTAGAATCGATGAATCTATCAGCTGTGTTCAAAGACTGTGCTCCATCCATCCACTGTGCAGCTTCTTTGAGATGACCCATATGCTTTAAGAGATGAAAGCAGTAAAGAAATTGCAGTTATCTATGATTGAGATTATGAGTATACTATAAATGGAAAAAGTTTATAAAGACATATTAGATGCCGGGCGTGGTAGCACACGCCTATAATCCCAGCACTCAGGAGGCTGAGGCAGGAGGATCCTTGCGAGTTCAAGGCCAGTCTGGGCTACAAAGTAAGCTCAAGGCCAGCCTGAATTGCATAGCAAAACCCTGTCTCAAAAAAAAAAAAAGACATATTAGAAATTCGACCCTATTTCTGGCAGATTTATCTAGAAATCTAGATAATTACAACTTACATTTACTAAGAACTAAACCAAGTGAATAACAGTGATTATACAAGTATGTGGCATAAAACTTACAATTGTTTGAGAATATTAGAAAAATATCATCAGGCTGCCTTAGATGTTACTGCTACAGAAAAATAATTCCAAGACTTTGTTTTGTTTTGTTTGAGGCAGGGTCTCACTATGTAACACAGGCTGGCCTTGAAATCACTTATGCAGCCCAAACTGGCCTTGAACTCACCATGATCCTCCTGCCTCAGCCGACTGACTTCTAGGATTACAGGTGTGTGCCACCACACCCAGCCTTCTAAGACTTCTTAGAATGGCTGAATTCAACTACTCAAAAAACACAGTTAAGATTTTACCTTGTAAATTTTTGCTTTCATATAAAACAATTCTATTAGAGTTGGAGTACTAGCAATTGCAGAATTAATATACTCCAAAGCCAAAGAGTACTGTTCAAGTTTATCAAGGTATTGTGCCAGGAAATACTGGACCTGGAAGTAGAGTTGTTGGGGGTTCCTTCTCCCCATTTTCTGCAATCAAACAAATACTAAATTATTATAAGGAAGAATTCTAAGTAAGGCAAGGCATATAGTTTCTCTCTCCTAACCCTTAATAAAGTTAGTAGTTATTATAATAAGGAGTAAAAACTCATCTTGAAAAATTACCACATGCAACAGAAAGAGCTATGACTTCACGGCATAAAGTTCCAATAGCGCAGCCAAGCAAAGGAAACAAAATCCTAGTTCGACAGGCTTCTAGCCCCAACCTCCTTCCAAAGAAACAGTGCTGAGGAAGGATATAAACCAATCCAAACCTGTGCATTTGCAGGCCGAAAGCAAAATGTCGGGAAAAGTCAAAGAAGGAAACCTGGAGAAGAGACTATCACTGCCAAGACTTTAGCAGAGACCACAACTGCCAAACTGCTGGGGAGCAGCATCTCTGAGGCCTCAGTGCTGAAGAGGAGAAACCCAGAGTTGAAGGCTATGTATGACTCACAAGGAAGGAGACAGCCCTGACAAGGTGGAACTATCCCTACTACATGTCGAAAACCTGAGCAAACACTGCCCCAGTCCTCTAAGAAAAGAAGTCACACATATACAATCAGCTGAGTCCTACCCTGCCCCTGTCCTGAACCAGCAACCTAAAGAGCAGCTGAAGTAACAGGCTGTTTTCAAAACATGTGTATTCAAAAGGAATAGACATAAATTTAAAATGAAGGTGAACCAAATGAAGTTACCCATATGACACCAAAACACATCTCCTAGTGTAGCTAACTAACCAACCTACAAGATAATACAAATACTCTATAGCATAAGATAAAGCAATCAAGATGTGTTTATGTACATGTACCAACACCCCATGAGAAATCTACTCATTATGTACTGCAAACATATAGTACTAATAAAAATTTTTTTTAAATCCTTCACTTGTATTTGCAAACCAATAAAACCTTTATAGTTTTTTTAAAAAGACAAAAGTCAGGCATTTACACTGTTCCTCTTAAATAGATTGTTTCAGGGGAACCAAATACTTGTGAGAGAAAATACTTTAAAACTTTTAACATTTCTTTCTTTCTTTTGTGTGTGTGTGTGTGTGTGTGTGTGTGTGTTTGAGACAGGGTCTTGCTATGCAGTTCAGGCTGGCCTTGAGCTCACTCTGTAGCCCAGGCTGGTCTCAAACTCACAACAATCCTCCTGCCTCAGCCTCCCAAGTGCTTTAACTTTTCTTTTAAAAGCAAAGTTCCCAGTGCTGTAGGTACAGCTAAGCAGCAGAGCACCTGCCTACCAAACACAAAGAAGTTCCTGGATTCAGTTCCCAGCAGTGCACCACCAAAACAAAACAAAACAAATCACCCAAACAGCTAATAAATGCAGAAAAAATAGTAAGAATGAGATAAGCGGTTTAGGTAGCAATCTTCAATAGCTCTAAAATCCTTAGGTCAGAAGTCCAAGAGAAATGTTTTTGTAAGCATATCCTGCTGTAACATCAAAAAAGAGATAACCAGAATACCTCCTTTTTCTTGGTATGACACATCAAGAACACAGCACCACTTGTGAAGTATTTAACAGAACCTGAATCCAATCAAACCTGTAATTCTAACTACCCATACCCCAGGCAATATGAATGACAGCAAAATATATTAAGTTAACACCATGAGAGAGCAATTAGCCAAACCTAGAATACAGGATAGACTACCATAAAGAAACCTTTCAACAAAAGGCCCTTGTTTAAAGGGGAGAGTAATTACTGCTATATATTTTTTAAAAAATGATAATTGAATGCAAAAAGTGTACCTTAAATGGATCTACATACAAGTAAAGCAATTATACAAAGACTTTTTGTTGGAAAATGGGGACACCTGAATGTGAACTGCATTAAATATTATAGTCTGTGGCTAATTTTGTGTATTTTAAAGAGATGATAAAGCATTTACAGGTGAAACAATATGTCTGGAATCTCCTTTAAAAATACCCAAAGGGGGGCTGGGGATTTAGCTCAGCGGCAAAGCGCCTGCCTGGCAAGCGCAAGGTCGTGAGTTCAGTTCCCGGTACCAGAGAAAAACCAAAAAAAAAAAAAAAAAAAAAAAAAAAAAAAAAAATACCCAAAGGGTAACGACCTGGAAAGACCCAGAAAGAACCCAGACTAAATTGCTATTTGGAAGCCTGAAAACATTCTGAACAGTTTTCTAAATTAAAGGACTTTGATTTATGCATGCCCCTACAATCAACAGAGAAACAAAGGACCACATTACATGAAATTAAAATATTAGAAAATGTAGAAAACTTAGAGAGCGTCAGGAAAAAGAGATTCTTAGCCACCTGACCTCTCAAATATGTTCTTGTTAAAATAGGGCTAATTCCCACTGTATAGGATTATGGAAAATTTAAATTAAATAAGATTGAAAGTGTCTCATTTCATTTTAAATTCAGAAATAATAAGCAGCTATTATGTAGCACACAAAAAGTAGTATTACTGTGCTTAAAAGTGGATTGAAATGAGTAATCAAATTCCAATTCAATCTAATGTAAACTTACCACAAGGGCTAACAAAGTCACATGTTTTAAGAGAGGCTTCATAATTAGCAACAAGTTCCTGGATTATAGAAACCTGTTAAAACTTATTTTTAAATTTTAAAAATATTTTATTGAAAGTATTTTGATTTATAGATTAGGCTTGGAAAATATACAACTTATTTCAAAATTATAATTAAATAAACTATGGCGTTGCTTTTCTTCCACTACTGATATAAATAAGAGTTTTAGGGAGGGAGTGGTACAAAAGCAGAAAACACACTACTGCCTTTATTAACAGTAAAAGGGACCTGAATAATTTCTCATCTCGATAGTTTGAGGTTTTGCAGGACAAATAATCTTTTGCCAATAAACATATCTGTATAATTTATTAAATTAATTTGTCTTTTGCTCCTTGTTTTGTGAAGTTATAAACCATTACATAAAAATTCACACTCAGGAGGCTGAGGCAGGAAGATTGTTGTGAGTTCAAGACCAGCTTGGGCTAGAAAGTGAGCTCAAGGCCAGCCTGAACTGCACAGAGAGACCCTTGTGCAGAGAGACCCAAAAAGACAAAGAAACACACAAACAAATAAAAATTTAGATTTTTAAAAGTATTACTCCTTCCAACAGTCAAGTGAAATGATCCAGGCTTGAAAGGTACATATAAAAGTAAAAATGACTGTTTTGCTTCTTATTGTTAGCAATCTTGGTCAATGGCAGAAAACAGAATCTTCTTCATGAAATTATAGGTTTTCCTACTCCACTTACCTATATACTACTAAAATAATGTCAAAAACACTGCTTACTATCTTGTGAAAACAGGAACTTTAGACATTTTTATTTTCAGAAAACAATATATTTCTTTTCTTTCCCTTTCCTCTTTACAAACTAACCAAAATCTACTATGGTTCCCTGCCACTGAATAGCACACCATGTGTTACTAAGTCCTAAAAAATTTTGGTACATACAGCTGTGAAAGAAACTTCTGCTAGAGTTCCACTTAATGAAAGGTAGACAGTGTGATTTAACTAGCTTAATTTTGAATCAGTATTAACTTCTACCCCCACAAAGTCACAGAATAGCTTCCATGAAGCCACTGACCATCCTGCTGCTAAGAACCCAATTGACTGCCCTCTTAACCTCACTCCCAAGAAAAGCCAAAGTAATACACTTCTTAGGACCATATAATACTCTTCAACTCTGATGTTATACTACATGGTACAACTCACTAGAATTAAGATAGGCAACGGGAAAATAAGATGGAACTACATATTAAAAGTGGGAAAAAAATGTAACAGAAAAAACAGTATGAAAAATTTACATATTTCTGGCTTTACTAAAACATACTTTTAAGGAAACACTCAACAAAAATATGACCAAACAGATCACAGTAGTACAAAAGGGGAACTTTTTCTTTTACAAACAAAAAGATTGTTTGATTTAAAAAAACAGTGGTTTCTCATTCATGTACAAGCTAAAAAAGCTGACTTCACGTAAGTAGAAACAAAAGTAGTCACTAAGATTAGGAAAGGTAGGGAGCAGGGAGCCGGATAGAAGGTGGGCCACGTACTAAAATACCAGAGAGCTATAGTAAATAAATAACAGAGAGAAAGAGTAAGTTCAGTGTTCTACAGGACCGCAGGCTATCTATACACTCGTAGCAACTTGTTTATACAGAACTAGAAGAGAGGAGTTTCACAGTTACCAACACAGAAAAGTGATACGTGTTTAAGCAGTGGGAAATATTAATTAACCTACTTGATCATTACATATTATATATAGACTGACGTACCACATGTACCACATAAATGTGTGCATAACATATATAAGCAAAAGTCAGATCTTAATTTCTTTTTACCAAAATTTGAAGATTAAATAAACTAATGATTTGGGAATTAAGATACTTTTTTTGTTTAAAAAAGGTGGTTCTCAGACCTGCATGTGTAAGCAACGTATTATTTCACGAGCGTAAGAACCTGAAAGAGTGAATAAAACTTAGGAGGTATGACAGACATTGTTAAACAAAAGGAAAATGCTCAAAAGTAAAGAGTTACTGGGATGAGGGAAAAGAGAAACGAAAGAAGGGGAAATTATGTGTGTATGTATATACAGGATAGCTAACATAGTTGTACTACTGATTTCTATCACTTTACTGAAAGGAACAGTTAATGATTAATTATCTGATCAATCTTGTATGTCTCTGTTTTCCTGAGAAACCACGTCGAAGATATCAATACGTAATACAACAAGCATTGTTCATTTCCTACCACTTTGCCTGTAACTCTGTATTGCTTGTATTTTGTAAATGGATGTCTGTTAATGTTTTCCTTCTTTTATTTTTAAAATAAATTTTAAAAGAATAAAATAAAAAAGGTGGTTCTGAAAGTGAAGTCATTGAACCATTAACATTATCAAGATTTAGCAGCACCCAGTACCTTATTAGAAATACACAGTTTTTGGATCATACCCTGGACTGACAAAATCAGAAACTCCTATTCTATATAATCTGTGTTTAACAAACCTCTTAGTTAATTCTGAAACATAATTTACTGGAGAAGCACTGACAAAAATGTTGCAAAAATATTTTAAAATAACAGGCACCCCTTAACCTACTATAATCACACCATTAATCTCAATTTAAACACCGGTAATTTTAGAAAGCTTTTGTAGGCTTAGAAATTTAGTTCTCTGGTAGCCCAATTTAAGGAGGCAATTATTTTTCATGAACTTACAATGCCATCTACTGACAGCTGTAAAAACTGCAGCTAGAGAAGGTTTTCAAGTGTAACCTTTGTGCATCTCCAGAGTAAAACACTTTTAAAGACAATTTTAATAAAAAACTACAATAACAAAATTTTTTAAATATAAAACATACTAAAGTTATACATAATCTTTCATAAAGACTGCACTAACACTATCAAGTAAAACAGATCTTATGTTTTAGAACTTCAAGGAAAAAAGAAATCAAGATAGTGGCACATTAACATGGAATCTTAAACACCTCAGTACTGAATTTCTTGGTTTCATTAGGCATTTCTCAGATCTCAAAAATGTACTTAACAGTCACTTCTGATCCAGTAAAGCAGTAAATACTGCAATTTCCCAGTTAACAGCCAATTGATTTTCTCTGAAAGTTAATACAGTGTAAGGAGTTTTCCTTGGGTTTAAGAATCCATTTTGCTCAAGTTTAAGGGAAAAGGGAAAAAAGCGATTTTAAAAAAGGATAAAATGGAAGCAAAGCTTTATAAATAGGGAGGGGAAGAGGGGCTGATGGGAGAAGAGACGGGGGGAAAAGGGGGAGTCAAAATATCATCATGTACAAGTACAAACTCCCTATGATGAATGCGGTCATTATGTATGTCTAAGCTGTACCAATAAACTTAAGTTTTTTAGAAAAGAATCCATTTTATTCCAGTTTCCTGATCATTTATACCTCAAGCAGGTAGCATATAATATTGAAATTTTTCTTCTTGAGAACAACATTATGCTTCTGCCATTTTAAAATCAAGAAAACCGATCCATGTAAGTTAGGTATCTAGGATTTAAAGTAACAACTTTAAAACCTCGAAATGGACAACTTAAATTATGTGACTGCTGTGGTCTGGATCTTAAAAATTCCCTCCCCTCAGGTTCCTATGTGCTGGACTCGCAGCTGATGGTTCTAGTGGGCGGTGTTGGAAACTTCAGGAGGTGAGGCCCAGGGAAAGGAAGTCAGGTCGTGGAGGACAGTGTCCTTGAAGGAAACAGCCCCCCCCTCCTCTCCCGTCTCACTTCCTGGGCATCACAGTATCAGTCACTTTGCTCTGCTGACCAGAATGCTTACCCTTGCCACAGGCCAAAGCAACCAGGGACTGCAACCTGTCGAATTGTGAAAATAAGTATTTCCTCCTTTTAAGTCGTTGTCTCAGACATTCTGTCACAGCAAAAGAAAACTAACACAATGCCCCAGATATGTTACAATTTGAAACATTTCCCAAGTTTAACCGTCTTCACCTAACAGCTGTATTTCATCACGACTAAAAAAGCTTTATCTTCACTGAAATAGAACCTGGGAAAACTCTGTGCCCATGGCAGTAATTTCCCAAAATACTGAGATAGGAGATAGGCCATGTCAAAGCTGACTGGGAAAATAAGTGGGTCCTGTCACTTACAAGATCCCAGGACAGGCTGGTGTGGTGGCACACGCCTGTAATCCCAGCACTCCAGAGGCTGAGGCAGGAGAATCGCTCCAAGTTAGAGACTGGCCTGGGCTACAAAGTGAGCTCAAGGCCAGCCTGAACTGCAGAGTGAGACCCTGTCTGAAAAAATTAAAAAATCCCAGGACAGCGCTAAGTAATTCCCAGGACCCACATGTAGAACTTCTTGAGGATGTGGGATGTGGGAGACACGTAAGGTCACAGACACCGACAGAAGCCCACCATCACGACTCTTCACAGTAGCACACTCTGTCTCCTCTCAACCAGGCTGTACTTTTATTTTTGCTCTTCTTCTCTTTTCCGCTTTTGTTTGGGCCAGGTTTGCTATGCTGAACCAGTTTCTCCCTACCTCTTCACCCCTCACTTTTAAAATAAACTTCTGGCACAGTGTTTGGCTTGTCTCATTCAACTCTTTGCTCGAGGTGAAAGGGACCTAGCATAAGTTTAACTGGCAAGCCATTTCCAAAAAAGCTACCCAATAACAGCATGACCCTTGCCCAGTTTTTCTTACGTAACTGTTCTAACAACTAACCTTAGAGTTACACTGCCACAATGCCATGTCTGATACAGTTTTTCACAGATAAAACTGCAGGTTTAAACTATCACTGCAACATGACAGCCACTGTTACGGTTTTGTCTTGATGTCCCCCCAAAGCCTCTGCAGTCATAGGGCTTTTTCAAAGGTCTTTTAATCTAGAGTGTATGATGCTGGGTGTATGATTACCAAATTGGCCCACTGACTGGTTTTGCACTGCCCTAATCCCAGCAGTCTGGATAAGATAAAAGGGGCAGAAAGATGCTGTTAGGTCCTCTTACTGCTTTAGCTGTCTTCTGCCGCCATGTGCCACTGACCCTGCCTTGGAGCCAGCAGATTACGGACTGAAACCTCCACTGACTGTGAGCTCAATAAACTTCTCCCCCTTTAACTTTGGGTTCTGGGTATTTTGTCTCAGCAATGAAAAAAAAGTAACTAAGAAGGCCACTGAAACTATCTTTTCTTTTTTAATCAAATTAGGAAACTAAGCATACTAGTTTAGAAACAAAGACCACACTGCTGAATTTCTAACAAATGCATAAGTAGCGACAACTGTGGTGTGGAAGAGGCTATGGAGGTCAGCTGCTCAACAACGACAGCAGTCACTGTCACCACTGCAGAGATACAGTGTGGGGCGAGGGATGGTAAGGGAGTGGCACCTGTGCACTCTCATTACCTGGTGCTGGAAGACCCGACAGAAAAAAGACACATTGTTGTGGCTAAAAAGGGCAGCAAATCAGCAGATGAGATTGGGACAAAGTTTGCACGTTAAAATGCTTCAGTACCAAATCCAGCAAGTTGCAAAGCAGTGGAGTAGCAAGCTATGACTACTATTTCTGAATTAGGCACTTTAGAAACTTAGTAATTTAAAGCATACATCAATCCTTTACGTATTCCTATCCCAACTTTATGATTCAGGTAATTTCTCAAGAAAGTAAGTGATACAGTCAGAATTCCAAACTACACACAATTCCAAGGGCATGCTCTTTCACAGAACCAGAATTTTCCCCAAGAGTGGTGTATAACAGTAAGACATGAAATGATAACAGTTAACTCACCAAGGACTACGGTATAGATATGGTTTGAATGTGTCCCCCATTTTATTTGCCTGCCAATCAGTTATACTAATAACTGAGCTTGTTTTCAACATTATTCACTATTACTAATTTACAAATTATGAGTCAAAGCTAAATAAAGTGATTTTACTAAGGTTTAAATTAAGTAAAGGTTTAGTTGAAGATTTAACTCAAATTTTTTCTTTATCCAATACTAACTTTCAAAATCTAACTATAGCTGGGTGTGGTGGAGCATGTCTGTAATTCCAGCATTCTGGAGGCTGAGGCAGGAAGATCTGCAGTGAGTTTGAGGCCAGTCTGCACTACCTAGTGAGACTTCGTCTCAAAAAGAAAAAATCTGACTACAGAAAATACCAGACTTTAGACATTAATAAGTCAGCAGCAATGCTTGGAAATAAAAATATAAATATTGGTATTAACTTTTAATTGTCTTTCCTGTTTACAATCAAGATTTCAGTGCCTATTTTCCAATTTTAAAAAGTCAAAAGGTATTCTATTTAAGAGCTAGCTAAACCTGTATTTATTAAAATGTAGCCAACTTGTTAAAGGTGTTTGTACTCCGTTGACAAATAGAATTTTAATGTTACTATAACTCTACATGTACCACAAAGGGCAAAAATCCATAATCATACTATAAAAAATAGCTAATGAATCATGGAATAGCTAAATACATATTTCTAGTAATATTTCAAATTTAAAATCCTACGAGAAAAGCTCGGCCATTACAAAATAAACAACCTTTATAATAACGTATTTTCATACAGCTTTTGCTTGCTGTAATTGACACTTCTTTTGATATTATAGTATATGCAAATAATTATACATCTACTAGATTAAAAGTAAGGAGAATAGCATTACTAGAATAGAGAAAATTACCAAACTATATAAGCATTTTGCTGGGCACAGTGGTGCACACCTATAATCCCAGCACTCAGGAGGCTGAGGCAGGAGGATCACTGCAAGTTCAAGGCCAGCCTGAACTATATAATGAGACCCTGTCTAAAAAAAAATGAAATCTTCTGGGAAAATACCCAGCAGGGGGATAGCTGAAGATCTCAAAACATCATATCACAGCGATATATGTGCACCTATGTTCATAGCAGCACAATTTGTAATTGCTCAATTGTGGAAGCAACCCAAATGTCCATCCAAGGACTGGATAAGAAAATTGTGGTACTTTCATAGAATGAATATTACACAGCTATAAAGAAAGATAAACTTGAGGTTTTTATAGGTAAATGGTCACAACTAGAGACCATACTCATAAGTGAAATACATCAGACTTGCATGTGCAAGCACCACATTGTTTCACTAATGTAAAACCTGAAAGAGTTAATTTAAACTAGGAGGTATGGTAGACATTGTGAAATGATAGGAAAACACTCAAGGGTAAAGGGCAACTGAGATGTGGGAAAAGCGAAGGGAAAGGAGAAATTTTGTATGTATGTATGTATATACAGAATAGTTAACATAGTTGTTCTACTGTCTTCTATTTGCTGAAAGAAACTGTCAGTGAGTCCTTGATTGATCAATATTGCATTTCTCTATCTGTTTTCATGAGAAACCACTTTGAAGATATCAATATGTAATACAACAAGCATTGCTAATTTCCTACCACTTTCTTTGCAACTCTGTATTGTCTGTACTGTTCTTTTGCTATTTTGTAAAAGGCTGTCTGTTAATGTTTTCCTCCTTTTATTTTTAAAATAAAATAAAAAATAAATAAAATAAAATTTAAAAATTATAGCATTTTACATGGAAATCTTTTTATAATAATTAAATTAGTAAAAGCACAACAGCAAAACTGAATACCACATTTTACCTTTTCTGCATCATAATATAAAGATTTCAAAGCAGTAAACAGGGGTGGGCAGCCTGTATTGAAGTTTGCCTTCAGGAACTTATCCATTAGTTCTCTAAACTTTTCACCTAGAAACAAAAGTGTATTTTGTTATAACTAATACAAACAATTCTTAGAATGATTTTACAAAGAAAAATAAAGGTCCCTCAGAAACAATTATCCTCCAAGTTTTAAATCCCAAAAGTCTGTCAGCATTATTTTTGCTATATATAAAAGCATAAAACCTTGAGCAGGCACACCACAGCCCCCACACCACTAGCAGTTCCAGCTGCTTGAAAGCTGAGGTGGAAAGATCAGTGGAGCCCGAGTTCAAGCCCCACATGGACAACAAGGAGATCTGGTCTCCAAAAATAAAAAAAAAGCATCACCCCAGTACTTCAGTTCACAACTGTATTTTCCCCCGGATCTAGGTTCAATATATCTTCAAGAAATACTTCAAAGACAGGTAAAGAAAACAACTGTGCAGTTTTAAGTAGTGAGATAAACATAACCTCCTTACCATCATAAATACAGCCACAACAGCATGTTATTTTTCCTGATCTTTCAGACTAGCACAGTCTCAATCCTGTGACGCTCAAACCCTGCAGATAACTAGTCGTCTGCAACAGACCACAACAGCACTATATTCATGTAGTAACCAAAATACCATTTTAAACACTAGAAAACTGTACTACTGTCTTCTATTGCTCTACAGAAAGGAACAGTTAATGATTACCTGTTTGATCAATCTTGCATGTCTCTATTTGTTTTCTTGAGAAACCACTTTGAAGATATCAATAGGTAATACAACAACTGTTAATTTCCTACAACTTTGTCTGTAACTCTGTTTTGTTTGTGTTGTTCTTATGCTGTTTTGTAAATGGATGTCTGTTTGTTAATATGTTTTCCTTCTTTTATTTCTTAAAATTAAAAAAAAGATAAACACTAGAGTGGTGTTTACAAATGTTTACCTAAAGCACCTGGTGATTTACTTCAAAATTCATTTATTCCACAATCATTTATCAAGCACCTACTCCATACTATTTTATGCACTATTTTAGGTACTGGCGGTACAGCAGTGATTAAACAAATCTAAAAAAAAAAATTCTGCCTCATAGAACTTACTTTAGAAAATGAGACAAAGTAAAATACATATGAGTTACACGTTAGATTGAATTCTGGGGTATTCTAATATTACAATTAAAATAAATACCCTGTTCACAACATCAAGTAAATTATTATTGCTAAACCTAACAAAAACTTTGGTGCTATTTTCAGAAAGCAAAAAAATACTGAAAAAACTTTAATTTTAAATTCTAAGATATACAAACATCATGACATGGTGAAAACACAAGAACACACATTTACCCAACTATTAAGAGATCCACATGTGTTATGAATCATGTAAAGTAAAGCTATTGAAATGGCCAACGATGTTTCTTTATGAATTACAACACTGCACAAAACCCACGAACTTACAAGGGTTATTTTGTTGAACTGACCATGCTGAATAAAACATGCATACAAAATATAAATAGGTGCAATAAAAATTTGAAAGAAAACATTTAATTCAATTTATTACAAAGATTGTTTTCAGATAATCTCTTATTACATCAAATATTAGTCATTTGAAAATCACAAATCACCAAGCAACAGGAACCTTCACCCTAGACTAAATCTATAACATTACTTCCTTAAAAAACAAAAGCAAGGCTGCAGGAGTATCTCAATGTATAGCACTTGCCTAGTATGAACAAGGCCCTGGGTTTGAGCCCCAGCACTGCCAAAGGAACCAAAAAAGCATTTTCAGAAATCAACTCTTTTCAATACTTCCCCTGGCAAGCCAGGCATGGTGGTGCACACCTGTAATCCCAGCACTCAGGAGTCTAAGCCAGGAAGATCTCTGAGAGTTCAAAGCCAACCTGGGCTACTGGTAAGTTCCAGTCCTGAACTACATAGTGAGGCCTGTTTGAAAAAACAAAAAACAAAACAATACTCCTCCTGGTGTAACCAAAAGTTAACAATACTGTGATAAACACTAGGAGATACTGTGTAGTGTAGAAGGTACATTTCTGCATGTACTTTGTGTATAACTTTGGACAAGTAACTTGTCCACTAAAACTCCCTTTCTCCACTTTAAAATGAGGGTAATCAGGGCCGGGAATGTAGCTCAGCGGCGTGGCATCTGCCTGGCAAGCGCAAGACCTTGAGTTCGATTCCTAGTACCAAAACCAAATTTTTTTAAACAAAGAAAAACAACAGCAATCCTTTCCAAAAAAAGAGAGAGTAATTTAAAAAAAGATACGATTTTGCTTTTCTTACATGTTATAACTCACGGAGAAAAATATTTTATTTCCATGTCACAAGCTACTTTGAGTTCCTCTTCTCAACTTCATTGGTCTATTCAGACACACTGGCAGACTGGATTTGAAAGACAATACAAATTCAGATTTATCCCTAATATTGAAAGCATCTTCTCCTGCCAATCTGTTAATGAGACTGAACAGATATGAAAAGAATGAGGAAACTATGTGCTGATAGAGGACCGATATCCAAAAAACAGTTAAGTAAAAAGAAAACCAAAGCTGAGAATAATCCACACCACCACTTGTTTAAAAATTAAATTTAAAAAAAGGAGGTAAACCCAGCACTGAGGGAGGGTGAGGTTTCTGAATTTGAGCCCAGAGTAGGCCACTTAATGACTCAGAAAGACATTGTTTCAAAATAAAAATAATAAAAGGGCTGAGGATATAGCTCTGTGCAAAAACCCTGGTTCAATCACTAGGACAAAACACACAAAAAAGCAAGCTAAACACACTCTTCTCATTTTTGCTGTCTATGCACTATTTACTTTTGGCAGAAAACACCATCAACTGGTAACAAAGATTGTCATAAGGGATGTGAAGTTGGTAGTTAGGAAGAGAGCCAGGAAAAAACTTCACTTATAAAGCCTTTCTATAATTTAGAACTATTTGAAGGTATTACACTAAAACCCTACACACAGTTAACCAACCCCTCAATCACACACCATATCTCAAAATTACCTACTGTTTATCACCTCCTGATTTTTTTTTGAGACCCCATCTCAAAAATTAAAAAATAAAAGCAAGGGCTGGGGCTGTCAATCAGCACAAAGGCCCTGTGATTCAACCCCCAGTAACATACACACACATACAGACACACAGGCACACACACGCCACACCACAGGCATGCACAGTGATCCTTGAGAAACACTGGGAAAATCTGCTTCCAGTATTCCACAAAACAGAAAGGAGGAAGATCAGAAAAATACTATTTGTCATCTACAAAGCTAAAATGCACTAGCAGAAAATGAATTCTTAAAAATAACTCCTATCTATAGTACTTTCTAATCTAACACATTTTAAGAGGTGTTTTAGATATTTTCCAGTTAAATCAACCAAACTATTTTAAATTTAATGACTTCATAAAAATTAAAATATGACCAAATTATTTAAATAAATATTTCCAATATAAATGAGAATTCATTAGAAAAAATACCAACTCTGAGAACAGATTTTTTTTGTATGGTACACCCAGAGCCTTTACATTAAGCTACTGATCAAGCCTTTTCTATTTTTTATTTTGAGACAGGGCCTTGCTAAGTTCCTCAGGTGAGCTGCAATACTACCTCACCCTGCCTCGGTGCTGCAGTTACGGGAAAGCACCACCATGCCATTTGAGAATAGATTTGTTGAAGTAATATGAGCTTTCTAAAGTCTGACTTATACCAAAAGAAATGCCACAGTAAATCGCAATAAGTACTTCATAATCTGTGGTACTTACAACTAAAAATAGACTAACAAAAACACAATTTTTTAAAAAACAAAATCATGAACAACAATATTAATTACCCAGCTCAAAAATAAGTTCAACTACATTCAACCACTTAGCTCAAGGTCATGAATATATTTCTAAGCAATAAAAACAAATCACAAAATATTCTTATTTACCTGAAGTACAAAATATGTTTTGTTTTTTAAGGATATAAAACAAATAGAGCCCTAGAAATAAAAGTAATGGCATAACAAGCAAAAGAATAACTTTATTAACTCTGAAGAGAAAATCATTCCTTCAAAGGAATGCTGATGTCCTTATCTAAGCACAACTCTTTTCTGAATACATGCTTTAAAAAGAAGACAGAGAACTTTAAAACTTTACCACCGAAATCACAGTACCTCATATATAATGTATCATCAATTCCAGGGAATTTCATTTATTTTCTAAACATGTATTTATTAAAAAGTCACATAAGATCTCAACATTCTAGGAAGCTGAGGCAGAAGAGTGACAAATTTAAGCCCAGCCTAAGCAGCTTAATAAGACCCTGTCTCAAAACACAACAAAAAATAAAAAATAAGTGGGATATACTCAGTGTGAAAGCCCTGGGCTCCATCCCTAGAACTAAAAATAAAAAAATAAAGTCACACAAGAAAAAGTTTTATACATGTATTACCCTGCTTACCCCAGATATAATAAACAACAGCACATTCTTCACTTCTAAAATTATCTGTATTTGCTACCAAAGAAGCAGGGTTACTACTAGAGAGACATACAGGATAAGTAAGTACACATGCATCTTCATAAGTATGTGCAAACTAATGTGAAGTTTTTAAAAGGCTCTTAATAAGCTAATGATTACAAAAATATAAAGGTGTACCAGCTGGACCTGCAAAGTACACCAAAAAAATTAAAAATAATGGGTCAGGGATGTACCTCAGAGGCACAGCCCCTGCCTGGCAAGCACAAGCTCCTGAGATCAATTCCTGGTACCAAAACAATAATAATAATTAAAAAGAAAAATAATACCCTAACCTGCCAATAAGCCAGGGAGAAGTGACTATATATTCAAGATTAGCAGTCCCCCAATTATCCTCACTAGCAAAATACGAGTGAATGGGACTATGAGGCAATTTGTAGAATATTTAAATTAGAAATGATCTCATCATATCAGATATCGTATTTACGTTTTAATAACTTTCTTATTGATGCTGTAAGAAAGAGAAACAGCAACCTTACAGTATTTAGATCCAATGGTAAAATAACAATAACATATCAGAAAGAAAAAATT